GCTTCCCCTCCAGGAAGCTTTCTCAATTCAAAATGTCTTTTTGAAAGCTTGACAAATGTGATCGTAGATTAAAATAAGATTGTGTGCAAAATATTAAAAAGAATTTTGAGATGAACATAAACTTGTTTTTAAAAAAAACAATTTGTTTGAAATTCAGCTAGATTAATCACAATGGAGGGAGCCGCCAAACATTTTACTATTGATATTTTAATAAGACATTACTCAAGTAAAAGATTTGTTCAAGTAACTGTAACTAAGTAAATATTACTCACCCAATACTGCTTAACTGATTTTTTAGGTAGCCTGTCACAGTAAACACAGTTTTTACTATTTATTTAGTTGAATCTATGTAAAATCAGGCTCAATAGAATTTCAGCTACGGCAAACTTATTCTTAAAGAGCTGTAAACTGAAAATTAGGCATACAACTGAAGACCAACAGAAGGATAATACTGTTCTTTCATCTAGCCTTGTCTTTCTTTTTTATTCCCTTTAGGATTCTGTTTAACTGCTGAACATGGATTTTGCAGCTTTTTGTCTTTTTTCTCCAGTTTCGACATTTTGTTTCCTGGCACAGGTGGCAAATTATTCTGTAATCGTTTTGTTTCTTGGTCAAAAAAGGGATTAAAAATAACGAAAGACATAAAAATAACAAAACATTGACAGACCTTCAGAAAAATAAGGAAGATAACTTTAAAGGAAAAAAAAACTTGCTTGAAAAGAAATTGTAAAGAAAGAGTAAGTGATTGAGTTCTGAATCTGGCTTATAAAAACAAACTAACAACTGCAAAGACTTCCTTCAAATATTTGCACACTAAAGTACAAGTTTCTGCAGCTGATAGTCTGCAGACAGTCAAGGATTTGTTCAAATTAAGACTTACAAATGTGCCTGGCTGTCCAGGGTGGCCTCTCAGTCCAGTTAAACCCTGAAGAAAAACACAAAATAAAAAATGAAGAAAGTATAAATTATGTACAGTTTGATTAAAAGAAGGTGTTTCTGCAAATTTCACTGTATTAACCTTGTTTCCTCTAGGTCCAGGTCTGCCAGGACGTCCATTTTCTCCTCTGTTCCCCTTCAAGAAGGTCAGAGTATTAACCTGATTAGTTGTCAAATTAAAATAAGTGATTCATGTAAATGATGTTCATTTGTGGGATGTCCTTTCCCCCCAGGCAGGGTACAGAGATCACCACCTGCAAACCAATTATACTTCACATCAGGGAATAACATAATTGTGGACATAAATCAAAGAAGTCAAAAGTGTTAAACATGCATAAGTGGGATAATCTTCCTCACAAAGCCCTGTTTGGCATTAATCAATACCTCTGTACATCATCCTGGACAATCATTGCCCCCCCCCCGATCAAGATGTGTAAAGGGTCTTTAAATAAATATTTTCATAAATCTTTTAGCAAAGCATTAATAAAAATGTTTTCTTTTAATATAATTACAGCTTTAATTTTAGTTTTTTTCAGTATGAAAAAAACACTTTAACAAAACTATTCGGAACTATGATATTTGACCTTGCTGTCTTACCCAATTTAACAATTACATTTGAGGCATTTTTCAGTTTCTACTTTCCTTTTAAATTTAATCAGTCTTTAAACTTTCCATTCACTAATTTCATATTTTGAGTTTTTCTGTTCCTAAGCTTCTTGTTATTCAGATATGTGTTGACATCAATAATGACAAGAGGAGAAAATTGCTGTTGGTAAATAAAATGCCTATAATTACCTTTAAAGCTAAGGTAGGAACTAAAAGATCTTATGAGGGCCTGAATTTATCTTCTGCTCATACAAGGAAAGGATTCGTGTATCACCTAATTTGTATAATTATATAAATGTCTGACTAATAATAAAATTAGACGTATTTTTTTCCTTGATTGACAGGAACATTCGATTATCTCAGTGTGATTTTTCCAACAGCCTGATATGCTTTTATCATCAGCTGGAAACAAATATTTACACTGAAATAAATTAAGCTCAGGGTTTTTTTTTTTTAATATAATCATTGGTCGTTCAATGGGATATGAAACATATTCACAACAGATCATCCAAGTTGGTTTGATGGGAAAGAAGGTCTGGGACACCTACACTCAGACCACTGAGTGTTTTAAAAAAGGCCTTAAAACATTTCTTTTTAGCAAAACTTTTGGTCCCCCTTAGAGGTTTCTTTTTTCTCTTTTAAAACAGCTTTTATTATTTTATTTTATTTCTTTTATCTCTATGTATTTCTTTTTTTAATGCTTTTTTAAATGCTTTTTTTGTAGCACTTTGAGGCCTTTTTGGTGAAAAGTGCATTATAAATTAAATGAATTATTATTATTATTATATTTCCCATTATGGATTCATTCAAACACTGCACCAGGACATTTTAGATACAAATTCTTTGTAAATTGTGTGTATTAGGGATTTTTGCAGGATAATAATTAAACACATAATTAATTAGCAGTGATGGTTTATCACACATACAGTATAATCAGATACTTTTCTTGGGCATCTCTAAGCTAGGGATTCCAGAAGAGTGATGCACAAATCCCTGGTGGTGCGCAAGATAAATAAATATTATAGCATGACAAAAAAACCAAACACAAAAAAACTAACTGAAATGTTAGAACTGTAGATATATAGTCATATGTTTATATTACTGTTTTTATGTATTTTTTACTGTTTTCAAGGCTGCACTTTAAAAAAAAAATGTAATTGCCTGGAGAGTTTTTCTTAACAAAATCTCTTTTTGTTTAGGTTCATGTACACAAAATGACAAACATATATATATATATATATATATATATATATATATATATATATATATATATATATATATATATATATATGTACAGTATATTAAGAATTGATCCCTTTGAGATTCAATATAAAAGATCTTCTTGTACGCATGGTATTGTTTATGGACACAGCGCTGTCCATGGTGCTGACCCTGACCCAGCTACACTGATGCTCACATCATGCACACACTGCTGCTGCTGGAAAAAATGGAGGTAGATGGGTTTTCTTGACTTTGCTCACTCACAGAGCTGTAATGGTTTTCCCTGGATAATGTGATTCACATAGGTGCTGTTTATTTTAAAGTTCCATTTTTAGCCTGTAATCAGACAAGAACAGGTAAACCGCTGGCAATGGAGGAGTGCAGTGGTGGATGGTGAGGGGAGCTAAGCATGTGTTGCCATGGGTATATCTAGGTAGGTACTCAACGGCTTTGCCTACTGAATCTAACCGCTGTAATACAATCAGTAAACATATCTATTTCTCTGATTGATAACAGCTTTATCAAGGATGGCGCTCTCTGCCAAAGTTCTCTCTCTGTCTATCTCTGGTCATTGGACACAAAATCACATTACATTTCTGAGTGTTTCTTTTTTTCGCTGTTAAGACTCTGGATGATCACAAAGCAGAAATATAATCGAAGATACCCCTTTCTTTACTACTTGTAAAAAAGAGAAAAGCTCTGACTGAATGAAGAGTCAGCACACCTGCCCTGCTTTCAGGGGAATAGAATGTGGTGCAGGTTACAGACATAATCTTGGAGAGCGCTGATTTTACAGCAGGGGAACAAATAATTTGTGCACTTCTAGCACTGAATAAATCAGCACATAGAGTAGCAAACAATGTATTATTTTAGGTAACATTTTACTGCAGGGGTGCCAATAAATGTAGAAAAAAATAACAAAAAACTGTAAAAAAGAGAATAAAAGGAGGAAAAAAGATAAAACAGCAAATGTAAAAAAAGAGGATGAACAAAAAAGAAAATTAAGGTCAGATTAAAATAAAAAAAAAAACAGAAAAAGGGGGAAAAACGAGAGAGAGAAAAACAACAACAAGAGGGTGATGCCTGGTTTGTTTCTAGATACACAAATCATTACTGACCTTTATTCCTGGTCTGCCCTGTTTCCCCTGAAGGCCTGCTTCACCATCTACCCCCTGAATGAGAAAATATCAACTCAGTCAACTTCTCCTGGTTTTCTCCTTCCCTGTCAATCCTTTTTTAAACAAAATATGATTGAGCTCTTTACAATATTCTGGACCATAGATCAAAATAAGCAAAGAAGGCAAAGAAAGGATTCACAAATAATCAGTTACATAAATGTGCAACAATATTACCATTGGATTCAGACACTCATTCATATGCAGTGAAAGCAGAAAGCAATCATAGCCCTAATAATTTTACACTGTTCACATTATAATATAAGTTCTACTTTGCATTATATACTATTTGGTCAGATGCCTGTATTTGACATTAAGGTTGGCTAAGATCAGGTCCATCCTGTCTTACAAGCTTGCAGCACTGATGAGTCTCATGTGTTGATTGCAGGTTTATAAATTCAAATAAATCTAAATTCTATTGTTTTACAATAAAACTTAGACTGAAACAGCTTTACAAATGGGATAACTCTTATCACACTTTTTATTAGTATTATTCATATTTATCTCTTTTTTTAGCTCTCAGATTCTCAGTCATGTGTTGGTCTAGACAATGAGTGGATGATTCTAACACATCCATATACCAATCAAAAAACAAATTAAAATGCTATGTTTTAGCGCTGGGAGATATAGAGCCAAAAGTTTATCATTATATTTCATTGTACAAGGAAACAACAGTCCTTCATATTTTACCTCAGCACCTCTGGGGCCAGGTGGACCACTGACCCCTGGGAAGCCTGGTAAACCAATAGGGCCTCTTTCGCCTTGAGGGCCCCTAATGCCTGCAGCCCCTTGAACTCCCTGAATGACAAAAAATAAATATAAGTGCAACTATCTGGTGCGATATGAAAACAAAAATAAGATCCTAAATCAGGTGGTTATGTCCACCTTTAGAAGGCATAGCAGAGACTTAGGCTTTGAGTGCTATTCGTCATAACTAAACAACAGAATCTAACAACAAATATATATTATAATTGATAAATTTGATAAATCAAAGCCAAAACAATCAAGAAAATCACAGAACACAGATTAATAACAGGTAACTTAAAAATGAAACAAAAAGTAAATGCACCAATAAGCACATAATAATAATGAAAAGAATAACTATATAACATACAAAGAACAATCAATGCAAAAATAAATGTTATTAAAAAAAGAAGAAGAATTATACATTAATGAAAGAATAAATCTTTTTAAATGGGGCAAAATTCAACAATGAACAAAAAATATCTTCAAATATTCTCTGAAACCAGTTAATAAAACAAAAGTTCCTGGTTCCTACTTTGTCGCCTTTAGCTCCTAAATCCCCCTTGTCCCCATCAGGTCCACGGTTACCCTGCCAGCAGAAACAAATCTGGATATTTAATCTCATTCAATCTGATTTTGAAATCAATAAATCAGCTGATCTAAATTATGACCAACCGTGACTCCAGGGAAACCCAGATGACCCGGTCTCCCTGGCAAACCCTGTGAACATTGGGACACAAGTCTTAATATGTTAAAAAAATAAATAAATAAATAACACATAACTAGTGAAATAATATTGTGAAATAATAACAAGTGTTCTACATTTAATTTAGCAGTAAAGAAATCATTAAACTAAAAGTAGTTTCATTATTTTATGAAATCTGAAAATAAAGTACATGAACAAGCATAAAGTTATGATGCTTTGACAGTTTTTGACCAGCAGATGGCAGTGCAGGGTAGCAGGAGCTTCCCAAACATTATTTTTAACTTCAGAGAACATTGTAGGCATAAAATTATTGTGTATAAGTAAAACTGTTACAGAACCAGTGACAAATACTAAACTCACCATGGGGCCCTCAAATCCAGGATCCCCCCGAGGGCCCACTGGCCCCACAGGCCCCTATTGATTAGCAAAGGACAATAAGAAAAAAAATAAATAAAAAATTACATAAAAAGAAACTCAGGGTCATGCATTCAGATGTTAAAACCCAGAAACTGCAAAACTAGTAAGACTTTTAACTTGAGCGGATATTCTTCTATTATATATTTAATAATTTTGAAGTGGAAGGAATATATTTGTATTTATAAATTGATTTTAAAATGTTTGAAAAACTTATGTTCAAGGTAATTAACCCTCAAAGAAAAAAAAAAATCTCACTCACTGCGTTGAGAGCCCCTTGTGAATCTGGACTTTGACTAGACTATATTAAAACATGTCTGATCAAACTTTAATCTAAATCATTTCATCATAGCTCAGGCTGTACGTTGAGTGTTAGCTGTCTTGCTCTAAGGTGATCCATCAGCTGGGTCTAAAATATCCTCCAGCCTCTGACAGATTTTATTTCTTTCCAGTACTGTCTTGTATTTAGCTGCATCCATCTTTCCATTGACTCTGACCACCAGCTTCACTGTGCTTGTTGACATTCTAGAGAAGAAATAACCTTTATTATCCCACAGTGGAGACATCTATTTCTCCCAGCAGGAAAGTAAAAAAAATATGAATTAGGGGCTAGTTATTAAAAATACCATATTCTAAATACTGAAAAATGTGAATGAGTTTGGTTTTGTATATGCATAAAAAACATCAGTAATTTTAAATTTATGAAAACAAATGTATAAAAACAGCAGATACTTTGTATTAAACAGCACTAGTTATAAAGTCTAACAGCTTTTTGGAAGGAGAATCTGTGATTATGCACAGTTTTGCACCAATGATTTAGAAGTTTTTCTTTAAAGGAGCTCTCCAGTTCTGAAACAGCTAAATACCCAGGAAACATCCAGGAAACAGTCTGTCTTCTATTCCATGTCTGCTTTTTATGCAGTGCTTTTTTAAATGTATTTTCTTATGATATTTTGTAAAGTTTACAGATGATAATACTGCTACTAGTCTGATGAAGGATGGTAATGAGTCTGTTTACAGACAGGAAGTGGATCGTCTGGTTCTTTTGCCTTACAATACAACACTTTAATTGAAACTGCTTTATAAATGATTATTTTCTGCCTTCTATGTTCTTTGATGCAGCATGAACTGCAGGTATATTTCATTCAATTATTATGGGCCTACCTTGTTTTGCAATGCACTGGGCTAAGCGGCTATTGAGAGTAGTTGAAGAAGATAAATCTAACTGTTCTGCTCTCTTTTTCCTCCAAGCTCAGGTCCTCTACCAGAGGTCTGGGAGCTTGAGGTTTCTGTGCAGTATCTTTGTAGTTCCATCAATCTCCATAAAGGGGAGATTGGTTGATTAAAAAACTAACACTTTTACAGTCAACAGATTCTCCCAGCTGGTTTCTGGCGATCTGATCCACTGTCTGCATGCCAGCTTGCCATAGTATTCGGATTTTCATGTCTTGCTAGGTCTGCCATTGTGTCTTACTATTCCTGACTCGTTTCATGGATTGAACAGAGATCTGTGACATGTTTAAAGTCTAGAACATAACACTGCTTAAAAATGTTCCCTGACTTTCTCCCAGACATGTTTACAGTGTTTCTTGAGATTAAATTACACATAGATGTTCCATATTCTTCTGAAAGCTAAAAACTGCATATAATTTCATTTAGGTGTATAACAATAAAAGGGGTGAAATACAAACATGTGCACCACTTTTCAGATTTTTATGTCCATTTTTCTTATGTCTAAATTTTTCCATCCACATCAGCACTATGCTGTCTTTTTAAAAATAATGCATTGATGGGCTATGTTGTTACGATGAGAAAATGTGAAAAATTCTACTGGGAAAAACACATTGATCTTAAGAATATTACATAAATATAACACAAAGATGCATTGCTTATTTAAAATCAAAGGATAAACTTACGAGATCTCCTTTAGGACCAGCTGCACCAATCAGTCCTGGATAACCCTGTTATGATGCATATTCAGTAGCTTTAAACTCTGTTAGTAAGTTCATCAAGGCAACATCCCAAAATAATCTATACTCACTTGTGGTCCTCTATGTCCCGGAGGTCCAATCTGTCCCTCTAAACCTGGAGGTCCCTGGTTGAAATAATAAAAACTAAATACTTTTTTTATGTCTAACCCAGAATCCAGACACGTGTACAAGGCTAAATATCTGTAGCAAAATATAAAGACAAGCTAGGTTTTATACCCGAGGACCTTGGGGGCCAACACCACCAGCTGGTCCAATTTCTCCCTAAAAAGAAACAAGCAAGATTTTATGCACTAAAAAAGCAACCAGTCTAGTTAATGTGGACATTTAGGTCAAACTTCTACTTTTAACTTCAATGCCCATCAATTCAGTGTTTAATTCACATGGTAAACAGAAACTGGATCAAAGATTCTGCAAATACAGACTGCAGTTGGGGGTCGGAGCACGTGGGCTTGGCTAGTTAATTAAGGTCTGGACTTCTAAATCAATCATATAAAAGAAGATGAAAAATCTGGTGGAGAAACACTAAGATTAGTGTTTCCTCTACGTTTTTATCACATATCGATCAGCACCTACCAAAAATATACTACACAGCCTAAATGTTTTATAGATACAGTATAGATCGCTACCTAACTTGTAACTATAACTATAATATACATATATTATAGTTATAACTGAAAGTAAAGACACTTAAATTTACAGAAATACTCTAAATAATTGTAGTACAAGACAGGTACAATAATTATACCCTTTATTTTCTTTAGTTTAATCTAATATTGCTTTTCTCTAGGATTTGTCAATGAGGAAATGGAGCATGACTTTTCTAAAGGAAGTCACATCTTTAGATCAACAACAACCTGAGGGGAAGGTAAAGTTTCTCAAACTCAATGACAAGAATATGGGACCTAAGATGCAGCCTTGGGGATCTCCACAACTAGAGGGTGACATTTAGGAAATGATTAAAACATACAATAATTTCCAGACACATAAAGTCATAAAAACTAGACCATTTAATTAGGCATTTAATTACTCTTTTATCTGCAAATGTGATCATCCTTGTAAAAACTATCCACCCCTGCCAAAAAAGATTTATAATTCTTCTTATTTTAAGACAGATACCCATTTTTATAGCACATAATTTACGAATAACCAACAATTTGTGTGAAATGTTGTAGAAAAAGCCTGGTAGCAAGTTCTAGGTCATCTTCTCAATAAACCTCAAAACTTCAGGATCAATGACAGATTAGAGCCAAGAGGATATGTTTAAAATTGAGAATTAACAAGTTAACATCTGGAAAGTATGCGATGAACATGTCCTTCCAAAATCCCTTCTCTATATGGTGTGAGAAAGCTGATAAAGTCATGCAGAAAATGACTACAGAGAGTTATTGCTGCTGAATGTGGAAATTATGTTAAACCTTTGGGCAAATATGTCATAATCGTTATCTCGTACCCTTGAGCCATTAACTCCTTGAGCACCAACTCTTCCCGTCAATCCTGGAGCACCCTGCGACAGAGAATTTAAGTTAGGAATTTTTAACAGAAAAAAATGGCTTTGAGATGAAACAAATGTTTGACAGTGAATTTATTTCTTACTGGTGGCCCTGGGGGGCCCGTGGGGCCATCCAGTCCGTTCTCACCCTGGTGAAAAACATGAAATATCAGTTAATTGACTTTCTATAAATTTTACCAGATCGGTTCTTGCATTTGAAAGAAACAAATGGAATAACAATGAAATTGGATTTTCCCCCTTTAAGCCGTTTCTGTTTATGAATTTTTTGTAAATGTTTTATGTTTTATAAATATCCATCTAAGCTAACCTACATTTTTTTACTTGGCAAATTACCAAAAATCCTCAAATGTGTAGAAGCTTCCCTGACTCATCTCTCATTAAATTAGGTCAAATGTATTGGATTACTTACATCAGGCCCAGCTGGCCCTTCTGGTCCCTCTGCACCTCTGACACCTGGATGCCCCTACAGAGAACATTAAACATGTTAATATCCATCCGTCCGTCCATCCATCCATCCATCCATCCATCCATCCAT